CCGCCGTATATGATTTTATTTTTCATTAGAATGCTCATATAAGTTTTAGTTCAGAAAACAGGCCGACGTGGTCCAAATTCTGTAAGGTAAACTGTTATGCTAAGTTATTATTGTGCACAAATTTTTGAAAACGAAGTGCCAAGGGAATTCAAAAAAATGGTCCATCCAATTTTTGCCGCAAATTTCTAAAAATTACAATTTTGGGCCAAAACAGGTCAGTGTTGAAACTGTGATCAAAGTATCTCGAAAATTATGATATGTAGGCTGAACACGAGAATACATGTCGACACATCACATGGATAGATGGATAGGCAAGCTTATCTCATTCAGAATCATCTTCTGAACTGAGTGCTATAGCAAAAAGTGAGTCCATCAAAAGTTCTTCTGGGCGTTATAATCGTCCGCACAAACTTAGTATACCATAATAAGTAAGCAAGCAATCAAGGTCCGAGTATACGTCCATACTGGCTTTAATGCTAATGTAGTGCAAAGCACTAAACGCTGGAATTATCGGTTTGCTATTAGAAATTGCGTCAATTTTTGAACTGCTTTAGATGTCTTTACAGGCAGACCATTCCCATTTTCACATCCCATCTAAGAATATTAGTCAAGCATATACATATTGTTTTGAAATTCGCTTTTCTAAGATACAGTCACTGGACTGGAGAAATACACTTCAAAGTTCTTTTATTTACAATTATGTTCCTTGAATGTAGGATTATTCACAATTTATTTAGGCCGTACTCTCAGCTTCTATGCTCTTGCCCGACTAACTCTCCCTGCCACAAATATTCTAATTATATACATTTTTACAAGTATGTTACTATACCCAAATTCATAGTTTTTATATCTAATCCCTGTCTGTTTTTCTCGCTAATCGTTTTCATCGCCCTGCAGCTGCATGACGCGTCTGCAAATGTGCATTTGGTTTTCCTTCTTTAGGGAATTTATTATTAGGGAAAATTACTTAACTGAAATTAACTGGGTTTGGGATTTTCGTAACAATAGGTATGAGTGGCCGAGTAGGCAATAGTTTCGACTGGCAACTTTCAATGGTCGTGGGTTCAAATCTCAAGTGCGGTAGAGTTTTTAATAAAGCCGAAAGCCTTAGAAGTTATTCTCTGGCTAAATTTATAATAATAATAATAATAAGTTCCAACCTTTGTTTCAATTTGAACGATCGTAGAAGTTTAGAGAGTTTCATGATGTTCAAAATTTTACTTATAAAATTCAAGTTTTAATTTCTATTTTATCTATTCATGATGAGGGGTCATGGTTCGAGATCTTATGCTAATCAAAAACTGATATTGACGAACTTAAATCAAGAATATGTTTGCCAAGTGTCGACTTTCTTTCTCAATAATTGATGACCGGAGGGACGGACATGGCCTTCTGAGGGAATATATACGTCATTTTTTAACTTTTTACTTGACCTATGGCGATCACGAGAGTTTCAACGACAAGCAAGAAAGATATAAGAAAAAAAGTTAAAACTTTCTACCTTAACTATGGCAACCATAGAAGTTTGAGAGCAGCCGATTGGACTTAACCCGAACGGGTTGACGTTACTACAAGTGGAATAAAGAAATAATTGAATATTCACACTTTAGTGCGAAGTTTAAAACTATTTATTAAAATATGCTCTTATTTTATTAAAATCATCGAATAAATATGTGCGAATATCAATTTATAGGTTTTTTATGCCTACGAGCACCTATAACGAGCAAGCGGCCCTTACCAATACGGCAAAACCAATAATTGAATTCAGTTATTTTTTGTACGCGAGCATTGTTGAAATGAGGACAAAAATGCTCAATTGGTAGAAAGCTTTACCTTCTATAAAAACTTGGTACGAAATGGCGCACATAAACTTACATACAGTTTCAACATTCGTATTTACTCCTGCAGCCTGCACTGCGCTGCGCTGGTCACGGATGAGTGTGTTAATTAAATCAATTGTTTTTAATTGGTTTTTTTTTTTTCATTTTCCCTGTTCCATCTTATTTTTCTCTTCGTTTGCTCATCTGATTGTGTCGTGCTTGCACTAGAGGCAAATATTGTAGTGGGCGGGTGGGCGATCGGCCGTAATGGTGATGGTGGCGGTGGCGCGATAGAGCATGCATTTACGTTAGGACGAAAAGCAACAGAAGAAGAACAAAATTCGCTTTTTGCCATACCGCGCTCTTAACGGATATTAAAATTTATATTTTTAAAGAAGTTTATTTGGCCGAACTGTGTAGCGTCCATCGCACGCAGAGCTACGCACACATTCAAAAAAAAAAAAAAAAAAAAAAAGAAAACAAAAAAATAAAGCAAACAAATCACACGCACATCTCTTCTGGTCTGCTGTTGTAAAAGCAGCCCCTTTTTGAATTATTATGTACTTAAAATGTAATTTATTTCAAAAATTGAAAATATTGTTATAACTCGCGCATCATTTTCCAATATTGTGTTTAATGAAATTAGTTTAATAGCATTAAGAAATAAGTCTATTAAACTGATGCTTCACAACAACTCGATTCAAGTCAATGTCTATCACATTTCGCTATTCTGCCCATCCCCATTATATTATGGAAATATAATTACAAAACTAATTAGAAAATGTCGTAAAATTGCTTAAGCACATGATCGGCATATGCACTTATATAAGCATATATATATATATGTATTCGAATTTTTTAACGCGTCATTATGATTATCATGTCTGTTACGTAATTAAATATTATTGTATTTATATTAATTAAGGCGATTAAATAGGAAATATTTACATCTTCTTCTTTTCAAACGAGATATTTCAGGATATTTTTTTTATACACAATATTTTATATACATTGGACATTTTACTGCTGCTTTGTTTGACTGTTAATTTATTGATCAATATATTACAGTCACAAGCCATTTAGGTGGAAATTCATTACAGGACACAATACCGTTAACCTAACCATATTGCTTTTCAGAACTAAAAAAAAAAAAAGAGTTACACCAAGTCTTTTAAAAATAATGCTGTATTAAAAATCAAAATTTAATGAACAATTTTGAAAAAGAAGAAGCAGTAACTACATCCACATACACAAGCAAGACTAGGCCTTATTGGAAAAACAACTGTGCATAAAATTTGTTAATGTGCAAGCAACTTTTTGAAAATTACTTCTAGCTTGAAAACATATGCACTTATGCTATTTTGCATTTGTAGGGCGAATATGGCATTTTATTGAATCAAAATTGAATTGAAATAAGTCGTTTTTGCTTCGACTTATCGTACGAAGCATGAGGGTAACAACAATATGAAGAAAGACAACATATTCGTATTGTCAACTGGACAGACAATGATGAATTATGGATAATGGGGTCAATTCAGGTAGAGTAAAGCGGATTCTCAAAGAGTCCATTTTTGTAAACAGTGGGGGATTACAACTTCTAACAGGTAACGATGGATCCCAATTAAGTCCATTCAGAGAGTCAATGGTGGGTTCCAATAGTGTCAATTTTTATAGGTAGATTCTTAATTCTTTTAGGTAACGTTGGATTTTAACTGGAGCGACCCTGGTAGGTAACGTTGGGTTCTTATAAGATCCGTTGTGGTAGGGAGGTACGATAGATTCCAGTAAGCTAAATTTAGGTAGAAAACAGTGGGTTCCAAAAGGACCCATGCATGCAGCCAATGGTGGATTCCCCCCAAGTCAATACAGGTAGTCGGTCATGAATTCTAAATATGTCAATTCTGCCCGGTAGCGTTAGCTTTTAAGAAGACCAACTCACGCAGAGAACTTTGTGTTCTTATCAGTTCAATACTGACAGGTGGAATCATTTAAATAAAACAGCGATTCCAGTAAAGTCAATTTAGGTAGAAAACAGTAGGTTCTAATAGAAACCGTTCCGATAGCTAACAGTGAGTTCTATTCACTATTTCTATTCTAAGAATTCTAGGATCAATTCGGATAGGCAACGGTGGTAGAAATGTACGACACAGCTGCCATCACAAAATTTAAAGGTTCACGACACCAAGACTAAAATTTGAAAGTATCAAGAAAGGAAGAACTTGGTCCTTAGGTATAAATAATAGCTGCAATCCAAGAATTTAAATACGGCCTTTTTACCATTAGCGAGCACACAAATGAAATCAAACTCAGCTAAAAGAATTATTTCCTGTTTTCTTGCGCTTGCTCGTCTTAATTACCTAATTTAAGAGAGAAAGTTGATTCCTTTCTTTGAAAAGAGCACGGAACTGCCATTATTAGACATTCTCTTCGACCTCAGAAAAGAGTGAAGTTATACTAATTCATCATTGCTTTTGTAACATTCAGCTTGATTGGGTTAAACCTTTCAACTGTTTTTCCATCGGAATAATTTCCTAAATTGACTTGAGCTTGCCTATCGGGCTTACTATGACCATATGATATAATTTTAAGTATTATGTAATGAAAATTGTTCTAGAGTAGCGCACATCTTTGGATCGATTAGGATTACGTTCGGCGTGTACTTTCATATAAGGGCCTTTTGAAAAGTTCAAAATGGTGTTCCAAGTTTTAGATTCACTCCGGTATAAGGATTTCCAAAATGGATAAACATTTATATAGTAGCGGGATGTAATTTTCTGTAAATTATCACGAAAATAAGCAACATATTACACTAGATGAAGATGTGTAGGGCATTTAATAACTGATCCTGTCTGCTTTTAATGCTTTTAGTCATTTTTTATGTAATTTATTTCTATATGAAATTCCATAAATCAGTTTAAGAAAAATCTCTTGCAGGCAATCAGTGCCATAGACTGGTCACCTCTGTCTACAGAGAGCGACTGTGTGTTTTATCAGTGCGAGTAAAGATCTCATATATTCATTAAACTATAAAATTATAATTCTATTAAGAGAGCAACACTTGATGTCCGGTGCGAGTAAGAAACAAATACTTGGCACTTTTCAGTTTGTTGTTGACAATGCTTAAGTGAATACAAGCAAGTGGGGTGACTATTAAATTAAAAAAAATAAAAAACAAAAGCAATGAGTGAGAAAAGTATGTACATATTCAATATGACCATATACAATACGATAACCATACAGAAATGTATACGTAAATGTACTCAACAAGTACTTGCAATATTCTTCGTTTATTGTATTAAAAAAAAAAAAAGAAAAAGTATTTAGATTGATATCTGATTAAAATTTTCTCGACTTTACCTAAAGAATGTTGTCATGGACCCGGCTATGCCACGCCTTTAGATGCAATGAAAAATGGACAACGGGAGAAACTTTTGTATACAGTAACAGTGCAGCCGAATATAAATGAGCCTCATGGCGATTACCTATCAACGGTTGACGTAGACCCGGATAGTCCAACATTTTGTCAAGTGAATAACTTATTATTATATAATCTAAGGCATGTTACTTTTACTAAACTAGCTGCATAAATATATACATATTCTTATAAGATCATTCATCGCACGTTTACAAATCGTATTGGTAATGAATTACATCATTCAGGCTGGAATACTTGCTCTAGTTGTTATCATACCGAAGAAACAAATACTGATCTTGTACCGAAGAGAGATAAACTTATTTTGCCCGCCTTGAATTCCGATTTTATCTACGTTTTGGATGTCGTCACTGATCCACGAAAACCTGAAATTTTTAAAGTAATTGACGGTAGTGTGTTAAAAAGCCACAACGTTACCGCACCACATACGGCTCACTGCTTGGCCAATGGAAATATTATGATATCTACAATGGGGGATGCAGAGGGCAATGCTAAAGGCGATTTCGTGCTCTTCGATGCGAATTTTAATTGTTTAGGCACATGGATTAAAGGCGAAAACAAACCCTATTGTGGCTATGATTTTTGGTATCAGCCTTATTTCGATGTAATGGTCTCATCCGAATGGGGTGCACCGAAAAAATTTAAAAGGTATCAAGATACAAGTATATATGGCACGTAGGTAAAGCGAAGCAAAACAAAAAATTTTTAATTTTTTAGAGGTTGGTCTGACGATGATCTAACGGATCTTACTCAGTACGGTTGTCGTATCAACTTTTTTAAATGGTCTACGCACACCTTATATCAAACGATTGACTTGGGCATGGAAGGTGTCACACCGTTGGAGATACGTTTCATGCATAATCCGAAAAGAGCTGAGGGCTTTGTTGGTTGCGCTTTAAATGCTAACGTCTATTACTTCAAAAAGAAATCAAATTCCGATGAATTTGATTGCCGTAAAGTAATCGATGTGCCCTCTAAACTAGTGCAAGTGGGGAATGGAAGACCTCGAGAAATGGGAGGATTAATTTCCGATATTCTACTGTCGTTAGATGATAGATTTTTGTACATAAATCTTTGGCGGCATGGAGATTTACGTCAATACGATATCACTGATCCAGAAAATCCAAAATTAACAGGACAGGTGTTCCTGGGCGGTTCAATTTGCAATGATTTAACGAATGTCAAAGTAATTGAAGATTTAGAACTTAAGGTATTACTTTAGAAGATTACATTTATAGATTTTATAATAAACATCTATTAATTCCCTAAGGAACGCCCGGATCCCTGTTACATTAAAGGTCGTCGCCTTGAAGGTGGTCCTCAAATGATGCAATTATCCTTGGACGGCAAACGTTTATATGTTTCGTCTTCTCTTTACTCCCCATGGGACAAAATGGTTAGTGATTTAATTCTCTTTCACTTTGTAATTGCTATGTTCGACTTTTGTTCCACTAGTTTTACCCTAAAATGGTTGAAAAGGGCGGTCATATCTGTCTAATCGACGTCGATATCGTTAATGGTGGCATGAAATTAAATGAAAACTTTTTAGTCGATTTTGGTGAAGAGCCTTATGGTGCCACTTTACCTCATGAAATGCGTTATCCCGGTGGTGATTGTACTTCTGATATATGGTTAGCTAATTAAACTCGAAATAATTTTAATAAGATTTTATCTTTATGTAACAGTAAGATTAAATGACATGCTATGCAGTTAATTGAAAAAATAATTTACAAGATGGAAAAATTTCACCAAAAACTTTTGCATTGTATTTTATATTTTATCATCGTAAAGGAAAAGTAAAATTCCACATTGATAACCAATCACATTTTATGATTTTTAAAATGTGCTCCAATGCTTGAGGCTAATAAATTGCTTTGCTCGTATTGGCCTATTCCATTTTTTGTGAAAGGGCACATGAAGTTTGTGAGGATGTATGCAACACCCTGATAGGAATTTAGATAGACTCACCTTTTGTTTCACCGATCGATTCAGAATCATTCCCTCGGTCAATTTGCAAGCTTGTCTATCCGTATGTTTTCCTTATTTTCTTGTGTTTTATCCATAAACTGCAAATTTTAAAGTACCTCCAGGCAATTTATTACATTGAAATGCCTTGGCGCAGGGACGAACGGTATTAACAATAGTTCGGATCGCATCACTTTTTCGACTACTTTCCATGCAACGCCTTGTGGTGCGGGGTACTTAATTATGGGCCGTCGCTGAATTTGATGTTTTTACTTGTTTTTAGCATATTATACGTATTAAGCATAAAAACAATACAATAGAACGATTATATGCGTGCTAGCAGTCATGATGGCGCAGGCGTTATATATTTGAAATAACTTCAACATTGTCATGGTTTTGGGTAAGGTCAGTTAAAGGTACTTAAAGTATAAAGCAAATTCCCGCAAATGTCGAATCATCGTATTATTAATATCACGATCATGATTACATTAGGACCATTTAATTTTTTACCATAATGCCAGCTTTCACAGGCGAAATAACATGTCTCTCAAGTCTTTCACATTAACAGCCTTAGAAAACCTGTAAACTACTTACACAATCGAAGTTGTCTTAACAAGGATAGTTCACTTTAAAATCATCAACGCTGACTAAAAAGCTCCATACAGTGGGGATATTGTAACGCTTTACAAAAATTTCTAGACGTATTGTTATCACATAATAACAATTGAATGATTTAACTAAATATTTATTCGATTGAGTTTTCTTTAATTTTATGAAAAAAAGTCTCTTAATGTAAAACATAACAATGCCGTTTCGTACATATTAAAAAATTTCATATATAAAATTGTAAACTAATTCATAAATATTTCTTAAAATTATGACGATAAGTGAGATTTTATGCGGCTTCAACGCAGCACGGCTGACCTTCTATTTACCATAACCATGCGTTAGATTGGCGAACGTTTAACGTTTTGCCGTAATTCTTTGAAAATATTATTGCACTAGAATTTGTATTTGTATTAAGCCTTTGAAACCCCGGCTTTATGTGAAATTATTCCTGTCGACTATTCATGAACTTCCTTTCTTCCATATCCTGTCTCCAATAGTCGAGTACGGCTTGAAAGATTAAATCTTGCATAGAAACTTCACCTTCGGATTTATAATCATTCTTGTAAAAAATTATCGAATCATCACATATGAAATTATGCAGTTTATCATCTCTCGGTATATTATTATCCGGTTCACCATAATTAATGTTATTGCTGTGGCTTAACAGCTTTCTCTTCATAAGGAATAACTTCAATAATTGACAAAATTTCACTGAAGACATATCAAAATTCTGTTTGACGGCAATCGTATGGATCGGACGATTTATATCTTTTTGTGATTTGTTTTTTAATTCGTAATTCTTCGACGGTTTTAAAATATTATTTATTTGTTGAGTATTATTTTGAGATTTTTTAAGTTTGCTTTCTTTCGCGTTGTTGTTGTTCGTGTTAATGAGTTTAGGGTTCTCACGAATGAAGCGATATAGCAAGTTTTTCGTTTCTTGTTGATCTTTTTGAGCCTTCAATAGTTCAACTGGAAAATTAAAAGCAAAGCATGACAACATTTAAATATTATTATTATTATTATTATTTTAATTTTAGACTAATGAATTGAATTCTTAGACTAAAAAAAAGACATTGAGCACTAGCAACACAGGCTAGCGGCTCAACATTTAAATATAAAATAGTATTACACTTAGAACTCACTGCTCTACAAAGTTCGTTATTTCTCATAAATGTATTAATGGGAAATTATCGTTGGTTTGAGATTTTTTTTTTGTAATTGGGCGCACTTCTGATGGATCAACAGATAGACACATGGACACGTGCGCGGACACAAGGACAATCGAATGAAAGGCGTGTGGATATAAGGACGAGCCAGCCGAGAGATTGATAAACGGTCGACGGGGACAACGGATTTAATTAACTCAGAATCTTAACTTAATCACGCACGTACATTCGTAAGTAGACAGGCAGACGATTGGATAAATATAGAGACGCTGAGACATATGGGAAACAGGTGAAAAATTCAATGGACAGTTGGAAAAACGGATGACTTAATCGATTATAAAATCTGCGCTGTTCAAGGCGAGTATTCTGCCCTCTGTTTCTGGGAGTTAGATGCTTTGGCAAACAGATGGGACTATGTACAAGTGAACATATGCGCTTAGTTTCGAATTTGTCGAGAGACGGATAGGCAGACTGCGAAGCAGTCGAATCAATAGGCAATACAATTGGCTCGTAATTCTACTAGCCCCACTCTCTCCATATTTCGAAATATTACATGAAACGGTGGAAAGACTGGCGAATGTACTGACGGACTCGCGCGCAGGCAATGCACTAAAAATAGTTATCTAAACGGAGTTAGCACAAAGATCGGTAGACAATTGGGTATATATAGGGAGACGAATAGACAGTTTAATCGATTCGCATTCCTAATAGCCCTCAATGTCTACATTTATAAATGTTACATGCAACGATCAGAAGACGGACGGATGTACAGATGGACTCGCGTATAGATTCGAAGCTGTAGAGAGACCGTTAGGTGTATAAAAGGACAGACAGATCGCGAAGCTGTTGAATGGATAGACAACTTAATCGAATCGTTATTTTAGTAGCCCTATGTCCATATTCCTCGATGTTACGTGAATCGGTGAAGAGACGAACGGGCGTATAAACAAGCCACTAAAGATGGTAAACGGATAGTTATCGAAACGGACAAGCAGAAAGATCGATAGACAATTGAACGAATCGACGACTTAATTGCCTCAAAATCCTACGTTAAACGTTTGTTTGCATTTTCTTGGCAGAGTTGCAAGAAATTCGCAAAAGGAACGTATCGTATACTAATATATTGTTGAACATTAAAGTTACCTTTCTTATCGGTTAAATTCAGCATTTGCTGAAACATCTTCCATTCACCTGCGTCACTTTTCATGTTTTCCACTACAGGTTTCGTTGTTTTGTTTTCCTTTGCCGGCCTTATGTAAAGGCCAAGTGAAATATGTATTAGAATTGTGAATATAAGAACAACACGTGCAATCATTTTATTAACGAAACGAATTTAACTTATTTGAAAATCGAGACAAATGAAGAGTTGTACACAAATTTTATTATTATATAAAGAGATCGAACTGTTTGCAGGCTTCTATCTGAGAACTGTCACTGTATGACTGATGTTTTCTACTCAGAAAGCGATTGCTTTTATACTTAAAAAACACTAAGCAATGTTTTTACAGAGGCGACGATTAAAATTATGCTTAATGTTGTTATGTTTTGTTAACCGCATATGTTCAACATAAAATTACATTTGCTTTACTGAGAGCAGACAAAAAGCACTTATTCTTCCTTTTTTTTTTTCTTTTTTTTTTT